AACAGGAATTCTTGGAGGTTTGCAGCCATAGGAATTCTTGGAGGTTTGCAGCCATCTGAATTCTTGGAGGTTTGCTCCTCACTGGAGGGCAGAGCCCCATTTTACCCCGTCCTTCATTGTTCGCAATTTTTACCTTTCCTCGTTACTCTTCGCCTTTTTCAACGTCAATTTTGTTGGTGGTGGTTTGGTTTTAAAAACCGTAGAAAAGGGGCTCTCCAAAATCCCCATTGCCATCAACCTCTCGCTTATTTTGCCGCTTAAAACCCGCAGCGCAGCCACCAGCCTTTCCCAGACCAAAAAAAAAAACAAAACCCCAAATACCCAACCTTTTAATTTTTTTTTTTTTTAATTTTCCAAACGTGCAATAATCCCCATTTCCACAGCTCCCACCCGGATTTCCCCAACTCTGCTAGAAATAATTCTTTTTTTTTTTTTTTTTTTTTTGGGGGGGGGGGATGAAGGGCAATATTTAAGTTTGTTAACGCGGTTGGAAAATTAAAGGAAACATTTCAGCACTGAATAAACTCCTCCGGAATCCCCGTGTCACGTCGTGGTCCGCTGTCACCCTCCCTGCTTTTGCTTCTATATGAATTACACTTCCCAAATTTCGCCTTCGTGATCAAAGGGGAAGGCAAAGGGTCCGAACTCCATCCAGGACATGGGTGCTATGTTGGGGGTAGAAAAGCTTGAACGCGGTTTTCAATCCCACCTCAAGGAACATAATATCATTCCATAATTCTTTGACTTAAGTTACTCAGAAAGAAGGAAGCAGGGTAAGAGGGATTGTAAAGTTTGATAGATTTCTGGTGGTGATAGTTTACAGTTTCTAAGCCAACATATAAAGGCGTGGGTTTTATTTTTGCATCGCTGTTATTGTACTCCAGTGTACTTTGTCATAAATCAGAATTATTTCCGCTACAACACGGGGCATAAGACCGGGCAGAAATACAAATTTAAGGTAATCATTAAAGTGTTGCTACCAAATACTTCCTCGAAGCGAAAATGAATGTTTGTCATAAAACCGTAAGAAAACTTGGTAAAAAATACAATGGGCATAAGCAGCACTTTCCAGACATAACTCACGGTTAAATAATTAGATTGAAAAGGGGACAGGTAAAATATTCCGGGCAAGTCTGAGAGATGCTTTGTCTTGGAAACTGTAGACATTTATGTACTCCTCGGGGTGATGGGCACAAGAGGGGGGTTTCTGGCACCTTTCCTCCCCCCCCCACCTCCCCAGCCCCTCTTCTCTCCCTCGCAGGCTCCGCGCCTTCCCTTGGCATCCCCAGCGCAATTTGGGGCGGTTTTAGGGCAATTGCTCTCTCGGTGGCGCTGGGGACAATGGGAGGACGCGGGGACAGCCCCGCTCCGCGCATCCCCCCCCGCCCCCGGGCGAACAGGACCCAGGAAAGGAAGGGCAAAACCCCACTTCCCCCACCACCACCACCTTTTTTTTTTTTTTTTTTTTCCTTTTTTTTTTGGTTTGCTTCAAAGTTTATTGGCTAAGGTGAGTTACGCTACATGGGCACTTGGACTAGTTGAAATTAATATGTTGTATTAGTTGAAGCCCGGGGGATGGCAGCCTCACGGCGGCGGGGGACGACCCGCGTACGGTTCCCCTAAAAGTGTGTAAAATTCAAAGTAGGTTATTAAAGCCCTTACCACGGGTAGACTCTCTCCTTTTAAGTTTTAATAGCGTTTGTTCGTATTTATTTTCTGTAATTAGAGTAAAGCATTTTTCCCAACGGGGGTTCCACTTAGGCTGATGAATTTTATTCCTCTTCCCATTAATGACCCATGTTTATCATACTTCTAATTATTTTTAACTTTAAACAATATTCGGTCTCCCGGAGACGCCTCCGCGCTGCTTCCTAACGTCAACTTTCTTTTTCCGTCGCCCAAAAAACGCCATCGCGGCGAAGTTTCCAGGCATATTCAGGTCATATTTTTATGAACGATCGGGTTTTATATTTACTCAGCCCCCCCTTTTTTTTTTGCTCCCGAAGATGCTGATTAGCAACTCGCGAAACGGGCTCGAAACCCTTCAACCATTCGCATCGGTAGCTTGGGCTGGCAAAACTGGGTAAACAAAACGCCTGTGAAGGGTGTAAATCTTTATTTTATACTCCCAACATTTACACATTCATAAAAGATGAGGTTTCCAGCACCGGTGGGTTTTTTTTTTTTCACCCCTTCTCTCTTTCCAGCAACCTGGATGGGGAGGTTTTGCTCTTGCGAAGCGCCTGGTTCTGCGGAGAAGCAAATTCAAATTATTTAATGTCACGTTTGATGGGCTCCGTGCAACTCCTCCGTCTCTCCTTCGACAAAAGCACGCAGCAGAATACAGGGCGGGAAATGATAATCATAAAAAAAAAAAAATCAGGAAAACATATTTAATCTTTAGGCAGACAATACAGGAAACTATGAGGTCAAATTTTGGTGTCCCAAAAAAACGCACATGTGTAACTGTTTGACTGAGCAGCATGAATTATTATCCAGCCACATCAGCTGCAAAAATAAAGTAGAAGAGAGGGGGGAAAAAAAAATCAAACCGGGGGGAAAAAAAAAAAAAAGCAATATAATACAAAATTGCATTGGTCTTTAATTTCATCACCTATAAATGAGAAAATATTGGCTCCCATACTAAAGTTTTATTCTTTGCTTATAAATATTATGTGGAATTTTCGTTGGATATCATAAAACTGAACGATTTCTATCAAACTCTTTTAAAAAGACCTATGCAGATAACACAAATAGAGGCAATAAAGTCGCAAATAGCTTTCCAGGGGAACCAAATGGCGTCTGAAGCCTACGAAAGCTTTTGCTGGGCAGGGGAAGGGGCGCACGAAATGGGATTATGCACTTTTAGGCTTTTTCGGCCTAAGAGCTTGAAACTTGTCCCGCTTGATGCGGAGAGAAGACCCGCAAGGCTCTTGAAAGTTAAGTCGAGGGGGGATTTTACAGCCCCGCTTTTGAAAATCTTTGGGAAAACAGGTTTGCGGACGTGAGAATATTTAAGCAGGACTTTGCTCTAAACCGTTACAAATCACCCCAAACGGTCAAGTTCCACTTTCTCGGCTCCGATGGACTTTTTTTTTTTTTTCCCCGCGATTTTGCTCCCGTTCCTTTTTTTCCCCTCCTTTCTCCTTCCCCCCCCTTCTTCCCTTTTTTTTCCCCTTCTTTTTCTCCCCCCCCCTTTTTTTTTTTTAATGAAAGGTGGCGTTTTCTTTTTGTTTCCCTTGAAAGTGACTCTGAACCCGTCTCTTTCTAATCGTAATGATCTTGAAATTCCGGGCTATCTCCCTTTTTATTTATTTATTCGCCATCGCCCTGATCCACCGCTTCACCTAAACCCAGAGTTCATCCACCAGCTCTGCAACACGCCGGGGAAAAGGGTGAAAAAAAAACCCTACAGAGCTTAATTCCTACACGATTTAGAAAATAATAAAGCAAATAATAAAGAAAATAAAGTTGGGGGCGGAGGGCACGATAACCACGAGGGTTTGAACTCCGTCGTATTTAAGGCATCAAATCTTGCTCGGAGATTTAAAATTTCAAAGAAAACAACAACTTGAGCTGCCATCGCAGCGAATCGAGCCACGGAAGAGGAGAGAGGGAATATTGGAGGGAAAAGTAACTTTCCTCGGGAAATCACCCCAGGAAAAAGAAAAAAAAAATATATAGAAGAAAATAAAATAAAATCCGAGCAAATCGGGAGGGTTTCAGCTTGCGAAGCCTTCTGCGTGATATTGAGTCAGTCCCAGGTTGGATTTTTTTTTGGTTGTTGTTTCTTTCCTCCCCCAGTAGGTATTTCCCGGCGAGAAAGAGGGAGCAGACAGACAGACAGACAGACAGGAGGGGAGCAAACCCACCGCACCACCGCACTGTTGCAGTTCACCATCAGAATGTCGCTCCCTTTTCACAAATTCGACCCCTTTTTTCCTCTCCCCCGGGATATTTTTTTTTTTTTTTTTTAATATTAACCCCCCCCCCCCCCCCCCCCCCCCCCCCCCCC